AGGTCTCCACGCAGCCTTCTCTTCTCCAGGCTGAACAGCCCCAATGTTCTCAGCCTGGCTCCATACGGGAGCTGCTCCAGCCCCTGAGCATCCTCATGGCCTCCTCTGGCCTTGCTCCAACAGCTCCATGTCCTTCTGATGTTGAGGACACCAGAACTGCACCCAGTCACTTTGAGTCCCTCTTGTTCTGTCATGTCGTTGCTCTGACCTGAGCTCAGCCTTTGTGGGCAGACAGCAGGAACTAGTGCCAGTACATGTTCTTGGAGAGGGGAAGAGGACAGGCAAAACAAACTGTCAAAAGCTATTGTGAGATCTAATACAACTCCTGCTTAAAATGAGTGTGTCACTTGAGTGACAGCTCTTGCAGAATCCTGTTCACCCAAAGGGAGCAGACACAGGCAGTAGATTCACCTCCCTCTAAATCCACCACAGGTTCCTGTCAAGATTTATCTAAATCATTCCATGTTTGGGTTTCCTGATAAGCCCCTCTTGTGCACTGTGCTGCATTTAGGCTTTTACAGGATAGAAGCGTTTATACAAAATAAAGGTAGAAATAGGATAAACCATCTATCGACCCATCTAAGTAACACAGACAAATCTCAACTCCATTCCATTATGCTTCTCAGAGGAGTTCCCATTTGAAATTACAAGTTTAACTAAAGATTTTCAAGTTCAAGTGTGAAGAAAAACAAGCTTATGGTCAAGACATCGACCAGATGCTTCAGCAAGCCTGTAGAATAAGGTTTTAGATACCCAAACTTACCAGTTCATTGCTTGTAGATGTACATCTCAGCTTTTCTTCAATCTCCCTTCCTATTTTCTGAACAGTTACCTGAGTCTGTTTAATTGCACACTGGGCTCTGTGAAGCCTGTGAGGAGAAGAGAAGATAGAGCTGAAATAAAGGATGCCCAACACGTGTCTTCACGATGGATGCAGCAGCTGCCTCAAAGCCAGCAGCAGTAATGTGAATTCAGATGTCAGCTTCCAGGTAGAAATGAACTATTAGAGGAGGAATCATCACATAAAGGAGCATCCAAAGCAAACCAGCAAGTGTCTAAATGTGGTCAACTACCAAATCTCCTCTGCATTTTTTAAAATACAATAGATGCTGCTAAGGCAAACCTGTAGGTGACAGAGCAGGTAGATGCAGGGATTTCATGTCTTAATTAAGTTCTAACAATGTTCACATCAAGACATACACACACACTAGTTTCCATGAGCACTATTATCACAGGCCAGCTTTAAAACATGCAAATAGCCTTTAGATATCACACAGCTCTCCAGGCCAAGAGCACAAAACACCCTTTAGTATCTCCAATACAGTATGGACCTTTCTGCAACAGAAGCATGGGTGTCTTAGCTGAACCACATCTGACGCATGAAAAGATGATGGGGATTATTTCTGACCTAACCCTGGCTTCAGGGTGAAAAAGGAAACTGATTATTCGCCTTATGTATAGAGAAAAAGAAGGCAGGCAGAGGAAAGAAGAGACAAGAACAGGTCTAACAGAGGCATTAACATCTTCCTCACAATTAATATGGAATGGAAATTCATGTATTTACTCCAAAAAATGAGAGTTGGTCTGCAGACAATGTCTTCTAAGCCATGTACACCCAGGCTTACTCCTCCCAGTCAGTTTCATTACTAATGGCTTCTCCTTTTGTAAGGATGTTCTTCAGACAACTTTGCTGCTGGGATAAGAACATAACTAAGTCCTAGTCAGAACAGCAGAAACAGAGTCAGGTAACCTACTGTATGTCATCAATGCTTTGCCAGGCTGATGTAATGAAAAGGCCAAGCCTGTTTCAAAGCCCATCACCCTTGACCCTAAATTAATCCCTGCCTCTTCATGGGAATGCTTAATTCTACTAAAGCAAGACTACACATTTGTTGTGAGCCAAGGACCAAAGCACGAGAGCACACAGAGGAGCTCCACAGCTCTTTCCTGCTACACTCTTCAATCTCTTCCAGATTCCTAAGCATTATTATTTAAAGGTTTTGGCTAACAGTTTTTAATGGTCTATATGCAGCTAGACCAAGCTAACCAGGCTACATGCTTCAAGCATGAGTAACCACAAAGCATTACTACTTCTCACACCAACTCTTTGCGTGCGGCCTTGTCCTGTCACTAAGTTCTCCTACTTGTGCCCAAGTATAAGGAACAAGCATTGATTCAGATTGAGTCCTCCAACCAGTACATACTTCAGAATACTTCAGTTTGGTGAATCTGTATCTAAAGGTCTATTCCTAACCTATGCAGGCTGCTACACAAAATAATTCAGTAATCAAGTCTGGTTTCAAAGGGAAACCATCTTCTTTTTAAGGCAAACATCATCCAATCAATTGTGCAATATAAAGAGCAAACCCCTTCAGTTAAACTTGGCTGCCTTGATGCCAAATAACACCATTTGCATTGCAAGACAAAAACTTACTGATACTGGTTGACTCAATCCCAGTACATTCACTGTCATTCCAAGAATTTTACAGTGGTAACAGTAAGATCATGACCACATCCAAAGTTAAGCCTTCCAAGATTAAAACTTTTAGGGACTTCATGCCACAAAAGCAGCAGCTATCAACAGAAATCTCCCTTCCCCAGCCAAAAAGGTCCCTACATGGAAATCTCTGCTCATCCAACAACAGGAATGCAAACTAAGTGACAGAAGCATCAGCAAAGGGGGAATGGCTTGAACCTGCCAGAGGGGAGACTGAGATGAGCTCTGAGGCAGAAGCTCTTCCCTGTGAGGGTGCTGAGGCGCTGGCACAGGGTGCCCAGAGAAGCTGTGGCTGCCCCATCCCTGGCAGTGTTCAAGGCCAGGTTGGACACAGGGGCTTGGAGCAACCTGCTCTAGTGGAAGGGGGTCCCTGCCATCGTTTCTGCATGCACAAGACACAGTTTGGTGGAGGCAGTTGTGATCGTACCAGTGAATGGAGATCAAGCTGAGGCCATAAATCTAGATTAAAATTTATAGAGAGTGAATGGAGAGGAACTTCACTGCTAATTGACCACAGACTGTTTCCATTTCCAGTCTGAAAGCAAGTCCAAAGCTAAAGCCTGAAGTTAGCACAATCTATGCTTTGAGTACAATCTGGCTTGGTTTAGCAACTGACAACAACGAGCCAACTGATGGCATAACCTACGTGCTATCAGCCAATGCAGGATTCTTCCTACATTGCTCAAGAGAGCTATTTTTATTACTTCTTATTAAAATTAGCACTTCAAGAGCTAATTCAGGGCTTCAGGAGGCCACTGGCTTGCTACCAGATTTCCTTCAGTGGTCAGGAAAGCCGAACCAAGCAGAGCAGAGCCTCAAGCCTTCGTCAAGAGCCAGCTTAGCCAACAGCGGCGTCACCCTGTGTCAGCAAGGCTGCTCTGGTGGCTCTGCAGCAGCTCACAGCCATTGTCAGCCAGCAGAGCAACATGAACATTAAATGGGACAGATTTACTGGTGCTTGGGGCCCCCGAGAGCTCCTGTGCAACGGTCCAACCTCAGGTGAGTTTGCTGCTGCCTGGGAAAGAGCTGGGAAGCAAAGCAGACATTCACATTCCTTACAACTGTAATAGAGATTGGAGGTGGGTCCATGAAGCTGCTGTTCTACTTTCATTCTTCTATCACCTTCTTTCCTGAGAGGAAACAAAATACTCTCCTCCCTTCCTTTGGAAGTTTAGTGGGACAGACGCAAACCCATCAGCCAGGTACTGTAAGCCAAGACCAACAAAAGCATCCCTGCTTGATCTAGGAAGAACCAGTGGGTAAAGTTCCAGCATCTCTCCACATGTTAGATCCCAAGCTGTTGAAATTTGGGCTATTTGGGGTGTTTCTTCAAGGCTTTTCAAATCTGACACAGAACTGCTTCCTCCCCCCCCCTAAAACCCTCCTACTTCCTACCTTGGCTGTAAGATCTGAAGCAATTCTTAGCTTGTGATGTTCTGCCAATCAATTCAGCTTGGGTACTGACTTGGAAGGGAGAAAGGAAGTTGCCAAGTTTTGGACTTCTTCACCATTATAGGTTTGCAACACCATCGTTTGTGTTGTCTGCAAGAAGGAGCAGTTGTCCTGACTTCCCAAGGCTCCACAATGCAATGGTCCAACACGACTTGACTTTACAACTCGGGAATGTGCTGTAACAACACATTTGCTCTCTTTCAGCTTTGCAGTGCTCGAAGGTTCAGCTGAACCACTTTCCTTTAGGAAAAGTGCTGTATCCTGCAACTGAGATATCCCTCTTGGCCATGAATTAGCCTGGTGATTTACTAGTTTATACAGCAAGTTCATTCCTGGCTGCAGTCTTTATAAACCTGAAAGCTGGATGTAGTGACAGTTGTGCCTATTAAGCTAACATATGCTTAGATTTACATTAATGAAAGACTCTCAGCTTTATTGGACATCTGATACAGGATTTTGTAGTTCTATCACACACTCCAAATAGCTCTTTGCTTCTATCAGACACATCTGGATTGTTCATGGACACAACTTAAAGCCATAAATACATCCATTAATTACAGCAGTCCCATACTCCAGCTACTTCTCACAAGAGAAATAAACTTCTATGCTTGTAGTTGCCAGAACAACCTTAGTTTACAATGAGCCTAAATTTAAACTGAGAATTACTACCAGGGATTTAGAAGAGAGAACAGAACACTTCTGGCAACAAGTAAGATGTAGGATCCTAGAAGTAAAATACCCAAACCTATTATTAAAGGAGTAATCCAAGACTTTCCTATTAAATATAAGAAAATGGAACATACATTACTTTGCATCAGCCCAGAAATGAGATTATGGTGAGTACCAGCCAGCTATAACATACTTTTAACACAGCCCTTTAAACCATCACTTGCTACATCTGCTTTCCCACAAGAACAAGTTCTAGTTCCTGATATCCACTCCCTTTCCCAATTTCCTCAGCAACCTACACCTCCCATTTGTCAAAAGCAGATGTAAGGTGGGAGAAGACAGTAGGGAGAAAGAAGAGAAGAAAATGCAAGTCTAACTTGTTCATTCATGGCATTAAAGCTCTACAAGAGCCAGTGCTGTAAGGAACTCAAACAAGACAGCGCTGCTGAAGCACAGACACACCATCCTTCCACACAGGTTTGAGTCTCACATGTGTAAGATTCCAATACAGCTTTTGGATAATCAAATCCATGTGGACACCTCAAGAGTGGATGCTTTGAGCTATGTGCAAATGGAGGAGGAAAGAACCAAACACGTTTGGCAGGCTGGCAGCAGGGAGGTCCTGGCCTCCAGCATGAGGAGCTACCTTCCATACCTACAGGGCAGGAATGAAGAGGAGTCTTAAGGTGAAGCATAAACCATGTTTTCCAGAAATGAAGTCACAAAACCTGAACTGTCTCTAACCCCCTTATTCCAAGTCACAGACTCAACTCCAGTGCTGGGCTGGATTTATGGCTTGATTATTCCATTTTTACCCAAAGAACAGATGTATTTGTGGCAAATAACAAAAGGAAGCTGCTTTCTGTTCTTTACACTGGTGCTTATCAGTTTGTGATAGGCCAGGGCAACACACAGAATCACATTCAAGACAGTCTGTATAGTACAAAGGTAAATTACGTGCAAATCACATTTCCAAAGGGCAGAAACATGTGAAGATTCAGGACAAGAGGAAACAGCCTCGAGTTGCCCCAGGGCAGGTTTAGCTGGAGCTGAGGAACAATTCCTTGCCCAGAGGGTGCTCAGGCATTGGAACAGGCTGCCCAGGGCAGGGCTGGAGGCACCGTCCCTGCAAGTGTTCACAGCCCGTGGAGCCGAGGCCTCAGTGCCAGGGGTTAGTGGTGGCCTTGGGAATGGTTGGACTTGGTGATCTTAAAGCTCTTTTCCAACCCGGTTGATTCTATGACTTCTGAT